TAATAAGGCTATGCCAGCTTTTTAAAAATTAGTGTTGACCAGGTGTGGTGGTTCACGTTTGTAATCCCAGCACTTTGGGAGGCCAAGGTGAGCACATCACGAGGTCAGGAGTTTAAGACCAGCCTAACCAACATGGTGACACCCTGTCTCTACTAAAAATACAAAAATTGGCCAGGCACGGTGGCTCATGCTTGAATCCCAGCACTTTGGGGGCCGAGGCAGGCGGATCGCCTGAAGTCAGGAGTTTGAGACCAGCCTGGCCAACATTGTGAAACCCTGTCTCTACTAAAAATACAAAAAATTAGCTGGGTATGGTGGCAGGCACCTGCAATCCCAGCTACTCAGGAGGCTGAGGCAGGAGAATCGCTTGAACCTGCGAGGTGGAGATTGTAGTGAGCTGAGATTGCGCCATTGCACTCCAGCCTGGGCGACAAGAGTGAAACCTCATATCAAAAAGAAAAAAAAATTAGCCGGGCGTGGTGGTGCGCGCCTGTAATCCCAGATACACAGGGGACTGAGGCAGGAGAATCACTTGAACCCGGGAGGTGGAGGTTGCAGTTAAGATTGCACCACTGCACTCCAGCCTGGGCAACAGAGTGAGACTCTGTCTCAAAATAATAATAATAATAATTAGTGTTAGCATGGTATATCTTTCTCTATTCCTTTATTTTTACTGTATCTGTGATATATTTGAAGTGGATTTGTTGGCCTAGGCATGGTGGCTCGCACCTGCAATCCCAGCGCTTTGGGAGGCTGAGGCAGGATGATTGAGGCCAGGAGTTTGAGACAAGCCTGGGCAACATAGTGAGACCTCATCTCTATAAAAAGAAACAACAGGCCGGGCGCGGTGGCTCAAGCCTGTAATCCCAGCACTTTGGGAGGCCGAGACGGGCGGATCACGAGGTCAAGAGATCGAGACCATCCTGGCTAACACGGTGAAACCCCGTCTCTACTAAAAAATACAAAAATTAGCCGGGCGCGGTGGCGGCGCCTGTAGTCCCAGTTAGGGAGGCTGAGGCAGGAGAATGGCGGGAACCCGGGAGGCGGAGCTTGCAGTGAGCTGAGATCCGGCCACTGCACTCCAGCCTGGGCGACAGAGAGACTCCGTCTCAAAAAAAAAAAAAAAAAAAGAAACAACAAAATTATCCAGGGATGGTAGTGCATACCTGTGGTTCCAGCTACTCAGAGGCTGAAGTGAGAGAATCCTTTGAGCCCAGGAGTTTGAGGTTACAGTTATCTGTCATCCCACAACTGCGCTCCAGCCTGGGTGACAGAGCATGACCCTGTCTCTAAAAAACAAAAGAAAGTTAAAAAAAAAAAAAAAAAGTGGATTTCTTGCAGACAACATATAGTAGGTATTCTTTTTTCTTTTCTTTTTTTTTCTTTTCTTTTTTTTGAGATGGAGTTTTACTCTTGTTGCCCAGGCTGGAGAGCAATGGCATGATCTCGCCTCATTGCAACCTCTGCCTCCCGAGTTCAAGTGATTCTCCTGCCTCGTGAGTAGCGGGGATTACAGGCATATGCCACCACGCCTGGCTAATTTTGTATTTTTAGTAGAGATGGGGTTTCTCCATTTTGGTCAGGCTGGTCTCAAACTCCTGACCTCAAGAGGTCCTCCTGCCTCGGCCTTCCAAAGTGCTGGGATTACGGGCACAAGCCACACCTGGCTAGGTATTCTCTTTTATCCACTATGACAGTATCAGTGAGCTGAGATTGTGTCACTGCAATCCAGCCTAGGCAACAGAGTAAAAAAAAAGAAAAATGAAAAAGAAAAGAAATAAATTGCTGGTCTGATCATTCCAGCATCTCTTTTATATCTCAGTCTGGTTCTGGTGCCTGCACTGTCTCTTCAAACCGTCTAAGTCTTTCAATATATCTTGTAATGTCTGTTGAAATCTGGGCATGGTGTTGAAAAGGAACTGAAGTAAACAAGCTTTAAATGTGAGGGTTTAGGTTTATCCTGTTGATTTTAGGCTGTGTTTACTATTTTCAGTAGCTGTAGGTGTCAATAGATAAAATTGCCTTTGTTGTCCCTGGTTTTCTGTGTTCTGTCATTTTTGGGGTTCTCTAGATATTCTTTAATTGTGAAACATGCAGAAAGAAATAGTAGAATGTTGTTTCATTGTATTCTACTGTTTTTTTTTTTTTTTTTGGAGACGGAGTCTTGCTCTGTCGCCCAGGCTGGAGTGCAGTGGCGTGATCTTGGCTCACTGCAAGCTCCGCCCCCCGGGTTCACGCCATTCTCCTGCCTCAGCCTCCCGAGTAGCTGGGACTACAGGCGCCGCCACCTCGCCCGGCTAGTTTTTTGTATTTTTTTTTTTAGTAGAGACGGGGTTTCACCGTGTTAGTTAGCCAGGATGGTCTCGATCTCCTGACCTCGTGATCCGCCCGTCTTGGCCTCCCAAAGTGCTGGGATTACAGGCTTGCGCCACCGCGCCCGGCTCTACTGTTTTATTTTAAATTTTATTTTATTTTTTGAGATGGAGTCTTGCTCTGTCACCTAGGCTGGAGTTTAGGGACGCAATATTGGCTCATTGCAACCTCTGCCTCCTGGGTTTAAGTGATTCTCCTCCCTCAGCTTCCCAAGTAGCTGGGATTACAGGTGCCCACCACACCCGGTGAATCTGTATATTTTTAGTAGAGATGGAGTTTTGCTATGTTGGCTAGGCTGGTCTCAAACTCCTGACCTCAAGTGATCTGCCTGCCTCCCGCCTCCCAAAGTGCTGGGATTACAGACATGAGCCACCACACCCGGCCTGGTCTACTGTTTTAAAATAAATACCCAGGCCAGGAGTGGTGACTCATTCCTGTAATCCTAGCACTTTGGGAGGCCAAGGCGGGCAGATTACTTGAGGTAGGAGTTCGAGACCAACCTGGCCAACATGAAGGAACACCATGTCTCCAAAAAATACAAAAATTAGCTGGGTGTGGTTGCACATGCCTGTAATCCCAGCTACTCGGTTGGCTGAGGCAGGAGAACTGTTTGAACGCTGAAGGCAGACGTTGCAGTGAGCCAAGATTACGCCACTGCACTTCAGCCTGGGTGACAGAGTGAGACTGGGTCTCAAACTAAAAACAAAACTCTGATGACACACTGTTACCAGTGACTGGAGTGGAAACATGATATAATCCTGTGAATCATCTGTCTTCTGGTGAACCTGTGCACCTGAGCCATGATGTTCAGTGCTATGATAAGAAAGACATTTGGTCTTTTGTGTGTGGTTCCTAGTACAGAGTTCCTAAATCTCTTGGAATTTCATGAGTGATAAGGGTAATAGGAGCCTCTTTTGTTGTAAATAAATGACTACTGGAACGCCTACCTAACTTCAGGGTGGGGATTGATGTCCAGAAAGACTCCCAGTCTTGATCTTCCTCTAGCCCTAGCCCCCAAAGTGGGGGGAGAGAAAAAGGGCTGGAGGTTTAGTGTTTGGACTCCTGACCTCAAGTGATCCACCCACCTCTGCCTCCCAAAGTGCCGGGATTACAGGCGTGAGCCGTCCCGCCCGGCCTTTGACTGCTCACAGCTTTAAAACCTCATTCCTCAGTTTCCACTGTGTACCCCACATATAGATGTGGTAGGAAGAACACCTGGGTCACCCTCATTTGGTGCTGGTGACAGAGTCAGTTCACATCAGCCTCCACTTGTATGCTTGAACTCACACTAGCCCACTCCCTAATGTCAGTAAAAATCCCCAGCCAGGCTCCTTTTCTTGCTCTCTGAAGCCATTTCACAAGTGCTTGAGAGCCTACACAGCTTTGCCTGAGATCTCAAGCATGTGAGTAATAAACCCTTTCATGAGTACAGGGGTTTTATAGAGGTCCTAGTTGCCATGCTTTCTTTCCAGTAACTTCCTAGACCCATGAAATGAGACAGAAAGGAAAAACTGAACGTAGGATAAATATTACAAACACGTTGAAATTAATACTTCTGTAATCCCAGCACTTTGGGAGGCCGAGGGGGCGAATCAAGAGGTCAGGAGATCAAGACCATCCTGGCTAACATGGTGAAACCCCATCTCTACTAAAAATACAAAACATAGCCGGGCGTGATGGCATGCACCTGTAGTCCCAGCTACTTGGGAGGCTGGGACAGGATAATCACTTGAACCTAGGAGGCAGAGGTTGCAGTGAGATTGCTCCACTGCACTCCAGCCTGAGCTACAGAGCGAGACTCCATCTCAAAAAAAAAAAAAAAAAAAAAAGTCCGGGGCCGGGGGGCCAAACCCCGAAACCCAGCACTTTGGGAGGCCGAGATGGGCAGATGACAAGGTCAGGAGATCGAGACCATCCTGGCTAACACGGTGAAACCCCATCTCTATTAAAAAATACAAAAAACTAGCTAGGCAAGGTGGCGGGCGCCTGTAGTCCCAGCTACTTGGGAGGCTGAGGCAGGAGAATGGCGTAAACCTGGGAGGCGGAGCTTGCAGTGAGCCGAGATCCGGCCACTGCATTCCAGCCTGGGTGACAGAGCAAGACTCCGTCTCAAAAAAAACCAAAACAAACAAAAAAAACTAAGGCTTCAAGTGATCACAGTTAAAATATAGAAATAATTTTTTTGGGAGGCTGAGACGGGCGGATCATGAGGTCAGGAGATCGAGACCATCCTGGCTAACATGGTGAAACCCCGTCTCTACTAAAAAATACAAAAAACTAGCCGGGCGAGGTAGCAGGCGCGTGTAGTCCCAGCTACTCGGGAGGCTGAGGCAGGAGAATGGCGTAAACCTGGGAGGCGAAGCTTGCAGTGAGCTGAGATCCGGCCACTGCACTCCAGCCGAGGCGACAGAGCGAGACTCCGTCTCAAAAAAAAAAAGAAATAATTTTTGTATGTTCATGATAGTGTTAAATTTATGAGGAACTGAGTGTGGAGAGTTCTGACAACAAAGTCATACCACCAAACCGAGACTACAGGATTATATGGAATTTCTCAGGAATTCTGAGAATGGATCCTCACTACTGCCAATCTCACCCCTCCTCCTATACACACATGGGGGATGTTTTAGGACTCCATCTCCCTTGAGGATGTGGCTGTGAACTTCACCCTGGAGGAGTGGGCTTTGCTGGATCCTGGCCAGAGGAATATCTACAGAGATGTGATGCGGGCAACCTTCAAGAACCTGGCCTGCATAGGTAAGGGTGACATAATTTCTCTACTTAATTAAGGAGAGAGAACAAGTGTTCCTTGCACAACAACTGTGTTCCAAGATTTTAAATGTGGGAAAGGGCTGGGCACGGTGGCTCGCACCTGTAATCCCAGCTCTTCGGGAGGCCAAGGTGGGCAGATTATGAGGTCAGGAGTCTAAGACCAGCCTGACCAACATGGTGAAACCCCGTCTCTACTAAAAGTATAAATAATTAGCCAGGCGTGGTGGCAGGTGCCTGTAATTCTGGCTACTCAGCAGGTTGAGGCAAAAGAATTGCTTGAACCCGGGAGGCAGAGGTTGCAGTGAGCTGAGACTGCACCATTGCACTCCAGCCTGGGCAACAGAGCAAGACTCTGTCTCAAAAGAAAAAAAAAAATGTGGGTAGAGAATACTTAAGTAAGTAAACCAGACACGCTCATAGCTAATCATGGATCTTAGAGTGTTATAATTTTCTTTAATTTCTAATAATTTATAGTGGGTTCTCTGGGCTTATATTTTAGGGGAAAAATGGAAAGACCAAGATATTGAAGACGACCCCAAAAACCAAGGAAGAAAACCAAGGTGAGTTGCATTCATGAGTAATTAGCCCCTGAGAAAATCTTACTGTTTCATAAATTTCAAAAGCCAAGCAAGCAAAACAATAAGCACAGTTTCAAGTTTATTCATTCTTAGAAAATTTTTACTGAAGATGTTTCATTGAAACTGTCATGGGCTGGGCAAGGTACCTAATACCTCTAATCCCAGCCTTTGGGAGGTGAAGGCTGGAGAATTGCTTGATGCCAGGAGTTCAACATCAGCCTGGTCAACATAGAGAAAACCTGTCTCTACAGAAAAAAAAAAAAAGTCATAGATGTTCAGGGTGTGAAAAGAAATCACTATGAAACAGTATGTAAAAATCCTGGCCGGACATGGTGTCTCATGCATGTAATCCCAGCATTTTGGGAGGCCGAGGCGGGTGGAACACCTGAGGTCAGGAGTTCAAGACCAGCCTGACCAACATGGAGAAACCCTGTTTCTACTTAAAAAAAAAAATACAAAATTAGCGGGGTGTGGTGGTACATGCCTGTAATCCCAGCTACTTGGGAGGCTGAGGCAGGAGAATCGCTTTAACCCAGGAGGCGGAGGTCACGGTGAGCTGAGATCACACCATTGCACCCCAGCCTGGGCAGCAAGAGCAAAACTCCATCTTTAAAAAAAAAAAAAAAAAAAGGCCGGGTGCAGTGGCTCACGCCTGTAATCCCAGCACTTTGGGAGGCTGAGGCAGGTGGATCACGAGGTCAGGAGATCGAGACCAGCCTGGCTAACATGGTGAAACCCCATCTCTACTAAAAAAACAAAAAAATTAGTTGGGTGTGGTGATGGGCGCCTGTAGTCCCAGCTACTCGGGAGGGTGAGGCAGGAGGATGGTGTGAACCTGGGAGGCGGAGCTTGCACTGAGCCAAGATTGCGCCACTGCACTCCAGCCTGGGCAACAGAGCGAGACTCTGTCTCAAAAAAAAAAAATTCTTGACTATTTTGATAATAGCTATGGTCACTGCCTGTTCTAGAGTATTGAGTATATTAGCTTTCAAACAATTTAGACAGGGCAGATAACATAGAGTTTCTCTGAAAATATTTAAAATGTAATTCTGGTACTTGCTAATAAATATAAATCATTAATACAAAACTATTAATAATATGGTACTCATTTTTTACAGCAGTCCTACGGTTGAAACACTCTGTGAAAATAAAGAGGATCGTCCGTGTGGAAAAAGCAGTAGCCCGATTCCTGATCTTCATATGAACCTGGAAACTCCTACTGGATTAAAACCATGTGACTGCAGTGTGTGTGGGGAAGTCTTCATGCATCAAGTCTCCCTTAATAGACACATGAGGTCTCACACTGAACAGAAACCAAATGAGTATCATGAATATGGAGAGAAGCCACATAAATGTAAAGAATGTGGGAAAACCTTCACTCGCAGCTCCAGTATCCGAACCCATGAAAGAATTCATACTGGAGAGAAACCATACGAATGTAAAGAATGTGGCAAAGCCTTCGCATTTCTCTTTTCCTTTCGAAACCATATAAGAATTCATACTGGAGAGACACCCTATGAATGTAAGGAATGTGGGAAGGCGTTCAGATATCTTACTGCCCTTCGGCGCCATGAAAAAAATCACACTGGAGAGAAACCCTACAAATGTAAACAGTGTGGAAAAGCCTTTATCTATTACCAGCCTTTTCTAACCCACGAAAGGACTCACACCGGAGAGAAACCTTATGAATGTAAGCAGTGTGGGAAAGCCTTCAGTTGTCCCACGTACTTACGGAGTCATGAGAAAACTCATACTGGAGAGAAACCTTTTGTATGTAGGGAATGTGGGAGAGCCTTCTTTTCTCACTCAAGCCTTCGAAAACACGTGAAAACCCACACCGGAGTTCAACCTTATACATGTAAGAAATGTGGGGAAGCCTTCAAGTCGTCTAGTTCCTGTCAAGTGCACGAAAGAACTCATTTTGGAGAAAAACCCTATGAGTGTAAACAATGTGGTAAAGCCTTCAATTCTTCAAGTTACCTTCAATTGCACGAAAGAGTTCACACTGGCGAGAAAACTTACGAATGTAAAGAATGTGGTAAAGCCTTTCTTTATTCCACTCACTTTCGAATCCATGAAAGAACCCATACTAGAGAGAAACCCTATGAATGCAAACAGTGTGGTCGGGTCTTCATTTACTTCAGTCACCTTCGAAGGCATGAAAGAAGTCACACTGGAGTGAAACCATGTGAGTGTAAGCAGTGTGGCAAAGCTTTCACTTGTTTAAATTCCCTGAAAGTACACAAAAGAATTCATACTGGAGAAAGACCCTTTCAATGTAGACAATGTGGTAAAGCCTTCAGTTACTCAAAGTCTCTGCACGTGCACGAAAGGACTCATACTAGACAGAAGCCCTAAGAAAGTAAACAGTGTGGCAACGCTGTCAGCTGTATTAGTTCCTTTTGGATGTATGAGAGTACTTACGCTGGAGAGAAATTCAAGGAATGTAAACTGTGTGATTAAGCCTTCAGTTGTCCTAATTCACTTTGAAGACATGACTCATGTGGCAATGAAATATTTGACAAATATGGGAGGCACTTCCACTCTCCTGTAGGATTGCAAATATGCGAATGGACTCCATGAACAGAAACCATATGAATGTAAGGAGTGTGGGAAAGCCTTCACTTCACAGAATCTTTTAAAGATACCTGAGAATATATACTGAGAGAAACTGTAAGGAAAATTCTTTATCCATCCCATCTTTTGTGGGTTTTTTTTTTTTTTTTTTGAGATAGAGTTTTGCTCTTGTTGCCCAGGCTGGAGTGCAGTGGCGTGATCTCAGCTCACTGCAACCTCTGTCCCAGGATTCAAGCAATTCTCCTGCCTCAGCCTCCCGAGAAGCTGGGATTACAGGCATGTGCCACCACGCCTGTCTAATTTTGTGATTTTAGTAGAGGTGGAGTTTCTCCATGTTGGTCAGGCTGGTTTCGAACCCCCGACTTCAGGTGATCTGCCCGCCTTGGCCTCCCAAAGTGCTGTGATTATAGGCGTGAGCCACAGCTCCCAGCCTTTTTTTGTCTATTTTTTGAGATGGAGTCTCACTCTGTTGCCCTAGGCTGGAGTGCAGTGGTGTGATCCTGGCTCACTGCAACCTTTGCCTCTTGGGTTCAAGCAATTCTTCTGCCTCAGCCTTCCAAGTAGCTGGGATTACAGGTGCCCACCACCATGCCCAGCTAATTTTTATATTTTTAGTAGAGACAGTGTTTCACCATGTTGACCAAGCTCTTGGTTAAGAGGCCAATCTTAAACTCTTGACCTCAAATGATCCACCCACCTTGGCCTCCCAAAGTGCTGGGATTACAGGCGTGAGCCACCACACCTGGCCCCCAGTTCATTTTATCATTTCATTTCTTTTTTTTCTTTTGAGATGGAGTCTCACTCTGTTGCCGAGCTGGAGTGCAGTGGCATGATTTCAACTCACTGCAACCTCTGCCTCCCAAGTCAAAACACTCTTCCTGCCTCAGGCCCCCTACAGTAGCTGGGATTACAGGCACATGCCACCACGCCCAACGAATTTTTATATTTTTAGTAGAGATGGGGTTTTACCTGTTGGCTATAGGCTGTCTTGAACCCTGACCTCAGGTAATCCACCCGCCTTGGCCTCCCAAAGTGCTGGGATTACAGGCGTGAGCCACCACACCTGGCCCCCAGTTCATTTTAAAACCATGAAACCACCCACGCTGGAGAGCGGCCTTCTTTAATGTGAGCAATATGGGAACATCTTCAATTACACGTGCAGCCATAGTCGAGATTCTTCGTAGGAAGAATTAAAGGAATGGGGAAGAAGGACTTGGGTCCCAGCAGGCCTTTTGTGGCATCCAGTCAGAAGTTAGGAAACACCCTCTAGGGCAGTGGCTGCCCTCAGCTCACACACATGACTGGATAGAAGTGAGAAGACTCCCAGAATCTGCCTTTAAGTTTCCGTCAGTGTCCTCGGGTCAGACTGTGGGAGTGCTGTGCTTCTAACCTTACAGTTCTCCCCAAGTGGGATATGCCTGTGGACATCCTAATTCACAGACATTGTCAGCATCGCATTATTCCAGGGCTGTTTTGAGGTCATCTCCAGCTCCATTTCCCATCTCAAACCTACACTTTGGATACTTACTGGGAAACATGTTTAAAAATTCACATCTAAATTTCTCTGTGGCAACCCCAGGTGGCTCTGAGGTGAGAGGGCTGAAGAAGCAGAGCCTGTGTCATGGGACACATTCCCCTTGACCACACAGCACGCGCTCTCCTGCAATTACCAGCCCTGTACCAACCACCGCAGTCAGAATAATCTCAAAACTGCTGGTGGAGTCACAGAGACACACTCTGCCATGTCTTAGCTGTAGGACACTCAAAATGCTTACCTCCCCTAACTTGCTTTCCCCATTTTCTGGCACGTTCTATCCTGAGATATTCCGCAGCACATGCACGGATGGTGCTCCGGCCTTCTCACGTCAGTGCATGTCACGTGCATCCTGCTCCAGGACTGGTTTCCTAGCCTCCCACTAAGAGTAGCACCTGGCTGTTTTTGGAAAAGGACGCACGCTGCAGAGCTCCAGCTCTGTTGTGTATGGGAGGCGCTGGCGTCAGGGTTCACAAGCCATGGAACTACCTTGCTTCACATCTTATGGCAAGGTGAACTCAACTCCCAATAAACTGCTTGCTGGAGCCACCGAATTCTCCCTTTTCTGAATTGCACAGGCATGATAGGTGTCGGGTCTGTCCTTTGTTGGGGTCAGTCCACCCTTTTCTTAGAGAGCAAGTCAGTGTGTTCTAGAAGGGAGGTGGCAGCATTGAGGGAAACCAGGTCACCATCTACCCTCATAACAACTTACAGTCTCCCTGGGTCCCAGAAGTGATCTTTCTGTCGCTTGGAGACCTGTAGTCGGAACTCTCTAGGCCTCTGGCCTCCACCCTCCTCCAACAGCAGGGATGGGTCAGGTGGCAGCATCCAACACCACGGTGAAGATACTAGGGTCCAGAGGCTGACTGGAGCAAAGTTTGCTGGCAGCTGAGGCCTCAGTGGAAGTGATGGCTACCGTGGAGATGCAGTGGAGGACCCGGTGGCTGAACCAGGAGATACACACCTTTGCTTCTCTCACCAGGAACATTTATGGTAGTTTGAGGGGTTGGAACATTATTACTCAACCCATTTCAGGTCCTTATTTTCGCATTCTTGGGCTGCCATGTTCTGCTTTTGTAGAGACATGATTATTGTACTGTGGGAGGTCGGAAAGTTTGAGATTCCTTCACTGTCAGAATGGGCTCAAGGAGCCATCTTTTGTGATAGGTGTTGGGGAGCTAAGGGGTATCTCTGCTACATGGAATGGGAGTGAGAACATTCACTTTTTGAAGGACAAGTATATGTGGGTCTGTGATGACGTTTGTGTAAAATCCATTTGTGTATGTGTCTGTGTGAGTCCTAATATTCAGTAAATATTTTCCTCTGTGTAACACTCTCTAATAGGTATAGTTAACAAAGCTGTGCTAATATCTCTGTCCCCTTGATCCTGACATTCTGGAAGACAAGAAAGCAAGCAAGAATATATATGGCACTGTGGTGGTTATTCCTGAGGAGCCAGAGAAACCTGGAGAAGAGATCAGAACACCTGAGGTCCTTCTGTCTGGGAGCATCTTTTAGTATCTGGGCTGTTACATCTGTGGATTTGTGAGTTTGTGTTTGTCCACCTGTATGTACAGTGACAAAGTGTGTGGTTTTTGTATATTTGTCTAGAGGGCTGTGTGTATATATATATTTTCAAATATGGAATGCTTTTTTTTTTTCTTTTTTGAGATGGAATCTGTTGCCAGGCTGGAGTGCAGTGGTGTGATCTTGGCTCACTGCAACCTCCACTTCTCGGGTTCAAGCGATTCTCCTGCCTCAGCCTCCCAAGGAGCTGGGACTATAAATGTGTGCCACCACACCCAGCTAAATTTTTTTGTATTTTTAGTAGAGATGGGGTTTCACCATATTGGCCAGGATGGTCTCAATCTCCTGAACTTGTGATCCACCCGCCTCGGTCTCCCAAAGTGCTGGGATTACAGGCGCGAGCCACTGCACCTGGCTGGGTTTTTTTTGGGGGGGGGGGGTTGTTTGTTGGTTAGTTTTTTGAGACGGAGTCTCACTCTGTCACCAAGCTGGACTGCAGTGGCATGATCTCAGCTCACTGCAATCTCTGCCTCCCAGGTTCAAGCAATTCTCCTGTTTCAGCCTCCTGAGTAGCTGGGATTACAGGCATGTGCTACCACACTCAGCTAGTTTTTTTATTAGTAGAGATGAGGTTTCACCATGTTGGCCAGGATGGTCTCAATCTCCTGACCTTGTGATCCGCCCACCTCGGCCTCCCAAAATGCTGGGATTACAGGCTTGAGCCACCAGGCCCAGCTGGAATGCTTGTATTTTCTTGCCTGATTTCCCTGGGAACACCCCCCCTTAACATTGAATGGAGCTGGTGAGAGCAAACATCCTTGTTTCTGATGTTAGATATTAAAAATATGGTTTTTCACCATCAAAGATTTTGTTGAGTTTTTCATACATGCTTTGTAGCAAGCTGAGCACATTCTATTCCTAGTTTATTGTGGGTTTTTAATCATAAATGGGTATTATGTCAGATGCTTTTTTGCATCGATCAAGACTGTCATTTTTCCATCATTTCCTAATGTGGTGTATTCCACTGATCAGTTTCCATATGGTGAACCATCCTTACATTCCAGGGATAAATCTCACTTGGTTATATTGCATAATGCTTGAATATATTGTTTTATATGCTTCGCTGACATTTATTTAAAGATTTTTGCATCAGTACTCATAAGGGACAGGAATGCCATCTTCCTTGCTCTCACACCATGTCACATTTGCTCGAGAGCCCTGCATTGTTCTCCCTGAGACCTCATTTTTGTAATAAGCCTTTTCATATTCTCGGTGTGTATGTGCACCACATAGCCATCAGTGTCAACATCCAAAGCACACCTTTTCAGGCAACCATAACAGCTGGCACTGTCAGCAGGATGTCTAGATGTTGGTCACCACGCAATGTTTAGCCTTCCCTTTCTCTCAGGTGCTAACCTGCTCTGCTATCTGGCGGCCAGCATGCTCCTTTGAGCTGCTGCTAATTGCTGCTCTGTGTTCCATTGTTGAGGCCGAACAAACTTCTGTTCCAGATTTAGCCAACCAAAGATGGCAGTTTCTATGTCTTTTTTTTTTTTTTTTTTTTTTTTGAGACGGAGTCTCACTCTGTCACCCAGGCTGGAGTGCAGTGGCTGGATCTAAGCTCACGGCAAGCTCCGCCTCCCGGGTTTATGCCATTCTCCTGCCTCAGCCTCCCGAGTAGCTGGGACTACAGGCGCCCGCCACCTCGCCTGGCTAGTTTTCTGTATTTTTTAGTAGAGACGGGGTCTCACCGTGTTAGCCAGGATGGTCTCGATCTCCTGACCTCATGATCCACCTGTCTCGGCCTCCCAAAGTGCTGGGATTACAGGCTTGAGCCACCGCGCTTGGCCCAGTTTCTATGTCTTTGGCATTTAGGAGCAGGAGTATCGGATTTGGGTCCTCCTTAAAATGTTCTGGGGCTAGGAGTTTTCAGTTTGCCTTTCTATGTAGAATGAAGCTGGGACTGATGCTAGGTGTTGGCCTTGTCCTGTAGGTCTGGTGGTGGGGGCTGGTGGTGAGATTTTATCTTGTGCATGTTGGGGCCCCATTGGTGGTCATTCCTGAAAGAGCAGTCATTTGAAAATGAGAAAGAGCCAGGTGTGGTGGCGGTGGCTCATGCTTGTAATCTCACCACTTTGGGAGGCCAAGGCGAACAGATCACCTGAGGTGAGGAGTTTGAGAGCAGCCTGGCCATTATGGTGAAACCCCATCTCTACTAAAAATACAGAAATTAGCCAGGCATAGTGGTGGACGCCTGTAATTCCAGCTACTGGGGAGGCTGAGGCAGTAGAATCTCTTGAACCTGAGAGGCGGAGGTTGCAGTGAGCTGAGATGGCTCCACTGCACTCCAGCCTGAGTGACAGAGTAAGACTTGGTCTCAAAAAAAAAAAAAAAGTGACAAAGAAGGCTGGGCGTGGTGGCTCACACCTGTAATCCCAGCTACTTAGGAGGCTGAGGCAGAAGTATCACTTGAACCTGGGAAGTGAAGCTTGCAGTGAGCTAAGATTGCCCCACTGCACTTCAGCCTGGGCAGCAGAGTAAGACTCCATCTCAAAAAAAAAAAAAAAAAAAGAGGTTCTGAGCAGAGGAAAGACTGATCTGATTTAGGTTTTGCGTAATTATCCTCCAACTACGGGCTGCAGGGTGTGGGTCGCTGGGTGGGTGGGTTAGGTGGACAAAACTGGATCCTAGTGCCTCACACCCCTTTAAAACGGATAAAAAGATGTAGTTCACGATCAGGGACGTCCTCAGTGATGCTCTGCTGGTCCCACAACCTGAGCGCTTTTTCCAGACGCTTTGACTTTGCACTTCTGCTCCCACGCGGCCAACGCCTGAACTGCAGCAACGTCCTGCAGACCCAGTTTCCTTTTTTGGTACCAGGCGTATGCAGGGCATGGACAGATCCTACAGTGGAACCAGTCAGAGACTGCCCTGGAGAAACTCATATGCCGGGATTTAGATGTTTGTAGGATAACATCATGAGCAGCAGCTTTGCAGGAAATTGCAAACCACACGTGTTCCAGGGCGATTCTCAGAGGAGGGATTTTTGGGCAGTGTCTCTAAGGACCAGTAAGAATATTTCAGAAAGACACAATGAAAAAAACATTCTAGGCAAAGTGAAAACTGACATTGATACCCCGACCCCAACCCCTCTTAACTGCTACTTCCGACCTGGGTCATGGAGTTACCATTCAAGCCCTATACCCAATACTCATCCTGAACTACTTAACTACTTATTTATATATGTATTTATTTATTATTATTTTTTTGAGACCGAGCCTCACTCTATCACCTAGGCTGGAGTGCAGTGGCGCGATCTCGGCTCACTGCAACCTCCACATCATGGGTTCACGTGATTCTCCTGCCTCAGCCTCCCAGGCAGCTGTGATTACAGGCACCTGCCACCATGCTTGGATAATTTTTTTTTTCTTTTTTTTTTTTTTTTTTTTGAAACTGAGTCTTGCTCTGTCACCCAGGCTGGAGTGCAGTGGCTGGATCTCAGCTCACGGCAAGCTCCGGCTCCTGGGTTTACGCCATTCTCCTGCCTCAGCCACCCAAGTAGCTGGGACTATAGGCGCCTGCCACCTCGCCTGGCTGGTTTTTTGTGTTTTTTAGTAGAGATGGGGTTTCACCGTGTTAGCCAGGATGGTCTCAATCTCCTGACCTCGTGATCCACCCATCTTGGCCTCCCAAAGTGCTGGGATTACAGGCATGAGCCACCAAGCCCAGCCTACTTATTTCTTCTCCCATCATCCCGATTGCCACCACCCAGGTCTAGACACTCACCTGGGTACCTGTCAAAGTGTCCTCCTTGATCTCCCAAACTTGAATTCCTAGTCATTCACCCCAGCACCAAAGGGACATTTTTCTGTCTCTCCCCTGCTCACACACCTCCCATCGCTCCCTAGTGCTCTCAAGTGCAAGTCCAAGCTCCTCAGCCTGGCACCTGAAGTCTTGAAGACCCAGTTCTGCCTGTCCCACTGTATCATTAGCATGAATAAGTAGAAAGACATTAATAAAAAGAATAGCACTACTGCTATTTATTGAGTGCCTACCTGGTGCTTAGACATGTGTCTTGCAGTTTCAAGGTGCATTCACAACAGCTTTATTATCTTCGTTTTACAGAAGGGGCTATTGAGGTTCAGAGAACTCAAGGGACTTGTCCAAGGTCCCCAGCCTAGGTGTGAACTCAATTCTTTCCAACTCCAAAGCTCAAGCCTAAACCCAACACCCTGTCCCCTCCATGACAAACCTCTAGTGGGATGGGTTTAACTTTCTTGCCATTTCTGTCTTTTACTCTTCTTGAGCCACTATAACAAAATACCATACGATTACAAAATAACAAAATATAATACGATAACAAAATACGATTCTTGACACCACAAAGTCCAAAGTCAAAATGACAGTAGATTCTGTTCTTGGTGAGGGCTTTCTTCCTGGCTCAAAGATGGCTACTTTCTGGTTGTGTCCTCATGTTGGGGAGAGGGCATGGGGGTGACAGACAGACAGGTCTCTGGTGTCTTTTCATTATTATTATTTATTAGTAGTAGTAGTACTATTTGAGATGGAGTCTCATCCTGTCGCTCAGGATAAAGTGCAGTGGCACGATCTTGGCTCACTGCAACCTCTGCCTCCTGGGTTCAAGTGATTCTCCTGCCTCAGCCTCCAAAGTAGCTGGGATTACAGGTGCCCGTCACCACGCCCGGCTAATTTTTGTATTTTTAGTAGAGATGGAGTTTCACCATTTTGGCCAGACTGGTCTCGAACTCCTGATCTCAAGTGATTCGCCCACCTGTAATCCAGGCACTTTGGGAGACCAAAGCCCTCATGGATGAGGTGGTGAAAGCCACTTCTAGGGGCTGCATTACCATCATAGGTGGTGGAGACACTGCCACTTGCTGTGCAAAATGGAACACGGAGGATAAAGTCACCCATGTGAGCACTGGGGGTGGTGCCAGTTTAGAGCTCCTACAAGGTAAAATCCATCCTGGGGATGGACGTTCTCGGCAATATTTAGTACTTTCCTGCCTTTTAGTTCCTATGCACAGCCCCAAGTCAACTTAGCATTTTCTGCATCTCCACTTGGCGTTAGCTAAAAGCTTCCATGTCAAGATTCAGCTAGTGGTCAAGAGATGCAGTGCCACGAGCCCTTAAACAGTGACATGGCATCTCAGTTCATCTTTACTGCACCCTGGATTTGCCTACATTCTTCAAGATCCCGTTTGAATTTCTTAGTGAATAAACCACTGTGCATTCTACAGCGCATGTATTTATATTTTGCCTGTTAAAAAAAGTGAGCTGTGTTAGCTTAGTTCTCTTTTGATGTAGCTTATTCTGATTAGCTTTGTCACCGTTTTACTACTTAGCATGGAAACAAGATGAAATTCCAGGCCGGGCACGGTGGCTCACGCCTGTAATCCCCCACTTTGGGAGGCTGAGGTGGCTGGATCACGATGTCAGGAGTTCAAGACCAGCCTGGCCAACATGGTGAAACCCCAGTCTCTACTAAAAATACAAAAATTAGCCGGGTGTGGTGGCACGAGCCAGTAGTCCCAGCTACTCGGGAGGCTGAGGCGGGAGAATCACTTGAATCAGGGAGGCAGAGGTTGCAGTGAGCCAAGACCACACCATTGCACTCCAGCCTGGGTGACACAGTGAGACTCCATCTCAAAATAAACCCCCCAAACCCCAAAAAACCCCACAGGACCATTCCACACAATCTGCTTAGCCCGAGTGACAGCCTCAGCATACTTCTTGCTGCTTTCAGGACCACAGTCCAAGCCCATCCTGCCAGCAGATATGCCAGAAGCCACAGTGGCTTGGCCAGTCTTGGCATTCTCATCAAACTTGCCAGCAGCGACAAAGTCAACAGGCAAGATAATCTTCACACCATTCTTCTCAGCTTTAGATATTAGGTCTTTGACAATCTTGGCTCTCTCTTCATCAAACAGAGAAGTGCCAATCTCCATGTTGTTGAGCACCTTAAGGAAGGTAAAAGCCATTCCACCACCAGTAATCATCTCATTGACTTTGTCCAGCATATTCTTGATCAGCTGGATCTTGTCTGCAACTTTAGCTCTGCCCAGGATGGCCGGGAAGTGTCGCTCTGGGCTCTCCAAGTCCTTGGCAAAGTAGTTCAGCTCCTTCTTCATCAAAAAAACAAAAACAAAAACAAAAATACCACCAGCCTTCTGTGGCAGATTGACTTCTGCCATGGAGCTGTGGGCTCTGTGAGCAGTGCCAAAAGCATCACTGACATAGACATCCCCTAACTTGGGAAGTGAAGCTTGGAAAGCTTCTAATTTGGCTGGCTCGGCTTTAGCCTTGTTTCCAGAAGCATCTTTTCCCTTCCCTCTTCCTCCACCTGAAAGCGGAGGTTCTCCTGCAGGATGACAGACCCAGCAGCTGGGTTGGTACAGGTTTTCTCCACTTCTGGGCCTACACAGTCCTTCAAGAACAGGACATCTTTGCCCAGCAGAGATTTGAGTTCTACAGCAACTGGCTCTAAGGAGTACTTGTCAGGCATAGAGACACCATCAGGCCGGCCTAGGTGTCTCCTAAGAACTACTGACTTGGATCCATTGTCCAAGCAGAATTTGATGCTTGGGACAGCAGCCTTAATCCTCTGGTTGTTTGTTATCTGGTTGTTCTTCATAGGAACATTGAAGTCGACTCTCATAATGACTGGCTCCCCTTTCACGTCCAGCTTATCCAGGGTCAGCTTGTTAGAAAGCGACACATTTTGGAAATACAGCTGGGGAGAGAGCTCGGTGATTCAGTGAGGGGAGCCGGGTACCGACATGTGCTCGGGAGGCTTGCAGAATCCAGTGGTGTACTTTTTAACAAAAATTTATTTTGAGGTCATTGCAGATTCACATGCAGGAAATAACACAGCCATTTTCTCCCAGTGGTAACGTGTTGCATAGCTGTAGTACAATGTCCCAATCAGGAAATTTCATCCCGCCCACCTCCCTCAACCGAATGAACAAGTACAGAGAGTACACTGTTCACAGAGGTGGTTCAACAATTCTACTTCCAAACAGTATTTCCTACCAGTTTTTTTCTTTTCTTTTTTGAGACAGAGTCACTCTGTCAGCTAGGTTGGAGTGCAGTGGCACGATCTCAGCTCACTGCAGTCTCTGCCTCCTGGTTCAAGCGATTCTCATGCCTCAGCCTCCTGAGTAGCTGGGATTACAGGCGCTTACCACCAAGTCCAGCTAATTTTTGTGTTTTTAGTAGAGACGGGGTGGGGTTTTGCCATGCTGGCCAGGCTGTTCTGGAACTCCTGACCTCAAATGATTTACCAGCCTCAGCCTCCCACAGTGCTGGGATTACAGGCGTGAGCCACTGTGCCCAGCCCGATCAGTTATTAAAAGTTATTCACAAAAAGTATTATTCGCCAGGCGCAGTGGCTCATGACTGTAATCCAAGCCTAGGTGGGTGGATTGCCTGAGGTCAGGAGTTCAAGACCAGCCTGGCCAACATGGTAAAACCCTGTCTCTACTAAAAATACAAAAATTAGCTGGGCATGGTGGTGCGCCCCTGTAATCCCAGCTACTCAGGAGGCTGAGGCAGGAGAATCACTTGAACCCAGGAAGCAGAGGTTGCAGTGAGCTGATATCGCGCACTGCACTCCAGCCTAGGCGACAGAGTGAGACTCTGTCTCAAACAAAAACAAAAACAAGCAAAAAACAAAAACAAAAACAAAACAAAACAAAAAAACAAACAGTGTTATTCTACTACTACTTACTACTTTTAAATACGTGAAGCACATCCAAATATCTAGAAAGACTAGATATTTCATATCACTTATCCACCAGGTACACAGCACTGTTCAATAAAATTCCACACATGTAACCATGGTTATCATCTAAGGTATCTCCTAAATATGACCATTTTGGGCCAGGCGCGGTGGCTCACACCTGTAATCACAGCACTTTAGGAGGCCGAGGCGGGTGGATCACGAGGTCAGGAGATCGAGACCATCCTGGCTAACATGGTGAAACCCTGTCTCTACTAAAAATACAAAAAAATTAGCTGGGCGTGGTGGTGGGTACCTGTAGTCCCAGCTACTTGGGAGGCTGAGGCAGGAGAATAGCGTGAACCTGGGAGGTGGAGCTTGCAGTGAGCCGAGATTGCGCCACTGCACTCCAGCCTGGGTGACAGAGTGAGATTCCATCTCACAAAAAATTTTTTTAAAAATGACCATTTTGGCCTTGAACACTTCCCTCCTTACTTCCTTCTCTCTGCTTTCAATCCAGTGGACAAGTACAGGCATGTGTAATGCTTAGAGATGGTTGAACAAATTCCCATCCAAAAGTCATTCACAGAAGACAAGTTTCCTATGAATTTCAACACAAAGTGTACAAAATATGCTAAATTTACTAAGTACTTTATCATACACTGGCAATCTCTTTAACATCTAGCAATTAGATGTTGCAAAATTAGGATGCATTTGCCCATTATATATGCTATATATAGAGCAAAACAAAGTGCACAAAACATATAGAAAAATAGTGTCTGAAAATGTCCAAGTATGAACACACTGATCTTTTGCGATTTCTTCCCTCCCACCTCCTCTAAACTATCCAACAAGTATAGACAGTACTACACTGCTCACAAAGGTGGTTAAACAATTCAATTTCCAAAAGGCAGTGTTTCCTATAAATTTTAACAAAAAGATATTTACAAAGTGATATTTCACTACCTCTACGTTTAATATACATGGGACACTTCCAAACATCTAAGTAGACTAGGTAGACTAGATGAAGTAAGGAGTTAATTTGTCCACTGTGTAACAGCAGTCTTGAATAAACTGCAAACATGTAACAATAGTTATAATTTGAAAGTGTTCGAAATATGAACATTCTGGCCTAGAACCCTTTCTGTTTCCATCAACCCAGTGGGCAAAAATGCTTAAATTTTCAGAAGACAGTATTTTCTAGGAATTTTATTATTTATTTACTTATTTATTTTTGAGATGGAGTTTCGTTCTTGTTGCCCAGGATGGAGTGCAATGACACATGTAGAGTTAGTAAACTAATATATTTTGTACCTTTTGTTTTAAAATTCCTAGGAAAGACCAGGCGCCTTGGCTCGCGCCTGTAATGCCAGCATTTTGGGAGGCTGAGGCCAGCGGATCACCTGAGGTCTGGAGTTTGAGACCAACCTGGCAAACGTGGTAAAAACCCCATTTCTACAAAAATACCAAAAAAATTAGCAGGACATGGTGGTGGGTACCTGTAATTCCAGCTGCCCGGGAGGCTGAGGCAGGAGAATCGCTTGAACCCACAAGGTGGAGGTTTCAGTGAGCTGAAATCCCATCATTGCACTCCAGCCTGAGTGACAGAGTGAGAAGCTGTCTAAAAACAAAATAAAACAAAAACCCAGGCGTGGTTGCTCACCCTGTAAACCCAGCACTTTGGGAGGCCAAGGCGGGTGGATCACGAGGTCAGGGGGTCGAGACTAGCCTGACCAACATGGTGTTGTATTTTTAGGATGTATTTTTAGTCTCTACTAAAAATACAAAAATTAGCCGGTCGTGGTGTGTGCGCCTGTAGTACCAGCTACTCGGGAGGCAGAGGCAGGAGAACTGCTTGAACCTGGGAGGCGGAGGCTGCAGTGAGCCAAGATTGCTGAGACAGTAGAGGAGTTCTTGAACCCTTGGGGAAGTTAGGTCCAAGTGTACTGAGTAGTGACACCTGACTCCGGATCTTCCCACTGAAAAGCAAACAGCTTCTGGCTCTCAGGAGCTATTCTGATGCTAAAGAAAGCATCTTTTAAGTCCAGACAGGTAGCAGTAGCAGCACTAACAATGTGTAAGGGTTAGGAACCATTGGGTACAGAGTCACTGTAGCTTGGTTGACCAAGCGCAAGTCCTGTACTGGTCGGTAGACCTTGGTCCCTGGCTTAGGGACAGGCAGGAGCGGGGTGTTCCATGGAGACTGGCAACGAACTATAATTCCATAGGCTTTCAAGCGCCTGCGATGAACCTGGATTCCCAGCTTCTCTGGGAACCTGATACTGCTTTTGTCTAATTGGTTGGGCCCCAGGCTTAACTTCTATGAGTACAGGGGCTTGGTTGACTGCCAGTCCCGGAGGGTTATCCTCTGCCCATACTCGGGGCCATGACTTAGCTAGAGCTGGTTTTATCTCTTGAGCTGGCTCGGTTAGAAAAAGTCTCCATTTTTCTTCCTGGGGGACCGTAAGGGCCATGATAACTCCTGTTCCCGGTAACTTTCGCTGTAAAGAGCCCTGTTTTGTAAAGGAGATGGTGGCTCTCAGTTTGCTAAGTAAGTCTCTTCCCAGCAAGGCCAAGGGACAGCCAGGCATGTACAAGAACTGGTGAACTATCTCAGGTCCCACCACCGAGCAGGTCCGTGATAGACAGAAAGCTTGCTTAGTGGAAACTCCTGTTGCTCCGATTATATCAATGGTTTTCTTGGATAAGGGGGCACCCGGGGTGGCCACTACTGAATGTTCAGCACCAGTATTGACCAAAAACTTAATGTCCTTGCCCCCAGTTGTAATCCTGACCGTGGGCTCCTTGGGGGCACTTGAGCCCGGTCCCCTTTAGTCCAACAGCCCTTCAGCCAGATTGAACAAAGCTCCCTCATCTTTATCTGAGGTCTTTTGTTCCAAACCATCTTGCTTTTCCTTCAGTTGGGGACACTTATCTTTCCAATGTCCTATTTCCTTACAATAGGCGCACTGGTTACATCGCAAGTGTGGGCGATTAGACTGGGTGTTCTTCCTGGAACCCCCCTTTCCCTCTCCTTTCGGGAGAATTCCCTTAATGGCCGCAGCCAGTAAGTCGGCGTTTTGCCTAGTCTAGCATTCACCTTCCTTACGGCTTTCTCTGCATTGCATCTCTATTCATAACACTTTATTGGCTATTTCCAGTAACTGTGAGGTATTCATACCTGCAAACCCAGCCTGTTTCTGCAGTTTTCTCCTGATATCTTCCGTGCTTTGGCTAACTAAGGCCATGTTAATCATGCGCTGATTTTCAGGGCTATCTGGATCAAAAGGAGTGTATATACGGTAAGTCTCACACAGTCTTTCATAGAATTGCGCTGGACTCACCTCTTTTCCTTGGATGACCTCAGAGACTTTATTTACATTTGTAGCCTTTTGAACCCCTTTCTTTATACCTTCTATTAATGCCTCACGGTACCGTCTTAGCCTCTCCATGTCTGGTCCCTCGTTCGGGTCCCATTGGGGGTCTGTTCCCGGCAGTTGAACTCTTTTTTTTTTTGAGACGGAGTCTCGCTGTGTCTGCCAGACTGGAGTGCAGTGGTGCAATCTCGGCTCACTGCAAGCTCCACCTCCCGGGTTCACACCATTCTCCTGCCTCAGCCTCCCGAGTAGCTGGGACTACAGGTGCCTGCCACCACGCCCGGCTAATTTTTTGTATTTTTAGTAGAGACAGGGTTTCACCATGTTAGCCAGGATGGTCTCGATCTCCTGACCTCGTGATCCACCCGCCTCGGCCTCCCAAAGTGCTGGGATTACAGGCGTCAGCCACCATGCCGGGCCTGAACTCTTATATATTCTTAGGGGTTTTGGTAATCGACTGGGATGTGCTCCTCTAGCCTCTTAGTTGCCGCCTGGAGCGCCCTTTGCCTTCATCTGTATTAAAGAGGTACATGAGCAGCTGGTGGCAATCAGCCCAAGTAGGATTATGAGTCTGTATAATAGTTTGGAGCAAGTCAATTAAAACTTGAGGCTTTTCAGTGTAAGATGGAGTATTATTTTTCCAATTGAGGAGGTCAGCAGAGGTGAAATGTTCATACACAAAGGCATGCCTTTCCACCAT